GGAAGAAAGGAAGAAAGGAAGAAAGGAAGAAAGGAAGAAAGGAAGAAGGAAGAAAGAAAGAAAGACAGACAGACAGAAAGAAAGAAAGAAACCTCTTTGACTAGTCAGAATTTGCTTCAGCTTTGACTTGGTCAGCTACCTCGTGCTTTTTCGTGGTGTGTCGGGGCCTTTTTATAGCGACATGTTGGGACAGTTTTTTTGGCGCGCAGCAACTTGAATAATCCGTCCTCCAGCTAGCCAAGGTATTTTCCGCGCGCGTCGACGTCAGCGCGCATCCGGCCAGCCACTCAGTCGGTCTTGTACGCAGAGTCTTTTTGCAATCGCCCTCTGGACTCGTTCTATGCTTCGCCCCGCCGTGGCCTTTTTTCTATCAAAAATAGGTATTTGTCACGAGGCTATTTAATCTCATATACAGTCGTTCTGGATGATGGTCTCAGCACCTGCAGGCTTCAACTTTGTGCCGTCGCAACCTGAGCTTTCTAATTTCAATTTCAGCTCCGACGCATTCAAGTAAGACATGCGCCTAGCATTCCAAGGCTCAGGACACCGCTTTCATGCGAAAGCATGGGCGGCAAGGGCTCGTCAAGTCCTCCGCACGGTGCCCTTCCAGCCAGATAACCAACCTTCACTGGGGCAAGCGGCTGCAGGCAGGGATAAACGCCAGAGATTTGCCGCCTTTCATGGTCGGTTGCTTTTCCAGGCACGCTACAGTCCGGCGCTGCTCAGCAAGAAGGCGCGCCGTAGTTCATGTGGAAACGTGTATTTGTTTGTGAGGGATCGGCTGTCATGTGTACACCAGCTGCAGTTACATGTATGAGTTTTTGCTTCTGGCAGGAGCGTAATCGCTTGGCCCACGCGACCTGCGGCAACGCGTCCATGCCGGAGCCTGAGGAGCTGATTGTCAAAAAACAGTGCAAATTGCCTTGCAACATCAATCGTTTCACGCGGTTTTGACCAAGGGGAGCCAGTTCCTGCCCGCTGTTGCGCTCACTGTATCAATTTCCAAAGCGTGTCAGACTGCGGATTTCGCGAGGACCGCAATGTGTTGGCCCACATGGTCAACGGGAACACGGCGTCGGCGCCCCGATCACTATTCAGATGCTTCTGCAAAGTTCGCTGCGGCGATTGATTTCTGTTCGAGCGCTCTCACGCTCACGCTCACTCTCACTCTCGCTCACTCACACTCACACTCACATTCACATTCACATTCACACTCACACTCACTCACTCTCCCACTCCCACTCCCACACCCACTCCCACTCCCACTCCCACTCCCACCCCCACCCCCACTCCCGCCCCCACCCCCACCCACTCCCACTCCCGCTCCCACTCCCACTCTCACTCTCACTCTCACTCTCACTCTCACTCTCACTCTCACACCCTCACCTTCACTCTCACTCACACTCTCACACCCTCACCTTCACTCTCACTCACACCCACCTTCACTCTCACTCATACTCACTCTCACTCTCACTCACTCACATTCACACTCACACTCACTCTCTCTCTCTCTCGTACTCACACTCGCGCTCACTCGCTCTCACTCGCTCTTCCACTCACTCACACTCACACTCACACTCACTCTCCCTCTCACTCTCACTCGTCACTCGCACTCACACTCACTCACTCCCGCTCTCACTCGCATTCACACCACTCTCACACACACTCACCCTCACCCACACTCACTCTCACTCACGCTCACTCTCACCCTCACTCTCACTCGCACTCACACCCTCCCACTCTCACTCGCTCACACACACACACTCACACACACTCACTCACACTCACTGACGCTCACTCACTCACACTCACACTCATACTCGCACCACTGCCGCCGTCACCACGATCCCCACCTTTCCAGGTCGCTCATGGGTCGTGCCGTCCAGGTCGCAGCGCAGCTTCTTGTTCACCCAGTGCGCTGCCTCCGTCCAGGTGCCTCGCGGCTTCGGCCCTTTCCTTCGGCCGGATGCTTCGGATGCTTCGGAATGGTTTGGCCTCGGCGTTCGCGCGTGGCCTTTGATCGATGTTTTCATCACCACTGTCACCTCTCTGGACCCTAATGCGTCCAGACCTCTAGATTTTCTGCTTGTAGACCTCACACACACACTGTTTGAGGTCTCTTGCCGGGATAGTCTTTAAACGAACTTTTGTTAGCAGACCAGTCCACAAAACAAGAAACACCTAAAAAGACAACGACCACCCCCCCTCACCTTCTCTGGTTTCCGGGACGTTGAAAACAACCAAGGGTCAAAAGCGCTCTCCATCTCTTATATATATATATATGTATATGTATCTGTAGAAGCATTCTTAGTTTTCTGTTTTTTATTCTATTTAGTAGCCCGCAAAGCATTAAGAAACTGAACCCCTCACCTAAGTGCAAGAACGCCTGGGAAGGTGCGAGATTTAGTTTAGTTTTGCGGACTACTAAGTAAGTGTTTTGTGTTCTATATATATAGTTGTATAGAGCTTGGGCAGGCTTGGGTGCACAAACATCATCATAACTGCCATGTCATGTTTCGGCTCAAGAGCCAATAGTGGACAGGGGAGTTTCTGTCCCACCCATCCCACCCTGAGGAACGGCCTCCGGTGGAGTGTCCCTGATCCAGTGGTGGTCGCCTGACGAGCAGGGTCTCCGGAGTTTTCGGATCTGGTTGCTGTCTCATCCTGGTGTCAAGGGATGGTGCAACCAGAGGGGAAGGTCCTGAGGTTGCAGGACATACAAACGCAATATCCCGAGGGCGGGGTTGTACCATAACACGGAAGTGAGTGTGTGAGAGCGTGGAAGAGAAAGCGAGCTTGGAGTAGCACGCACTGGGAGACTTATGAGGTATATATATATATATATGTTCCTTTTTGCGCTTCGATTTTTTTTAGAATTCAAACATGTCAGGAAATCTGATTTAGTTGTTTTTTTTGCGTTTTGGTAGTTTTGCCAGCTACCAAAAAGAACTGTTTCTTGGAAACGATAACTATGTAGTTTTTCAAGATGTGCTTTTCTTTATTTTTGAGTTCTGTTTTGGAAACTCTGATTGCCAGAAAACATTGGAAATGAAGGATTTTAGCTTGTTAAGTGTTTTTTGGCGCACTACAAAATAGAAACAACACACTCTCTACTGTAAACAATTGCACGGCATTGTTTTGAACATACTCTTTAGTTTTGTGTCCTATTTTCGCATTTCTATATGCAAGGACACGTTGGGAAGTGAGGGATTCAGTTGTTAGCCTTCTTAGCTTTGCAGACAACAAGGTCTCCCCAAAACCAAACAGTTGGTTTGTTGCTTTGCGGAATATATTTTAAACAACATGTTTAGTTCTTTTGGTTTTTTATATTCCGCAAAACAAAAGAGACAATCTATATTTTGCTATTTTTTTGTATATGTGCCTTTGGAGATTGATATAGATATTAGTAAACCGAGAATGGTGAGGGATTTAGTTTACTCAACGGAAAAAAGGTCGGTCGATTATATATTTATCTCATACATATATCTCTATATATATATATACATAAGGCAAATGAAAACGGTTATATAGGCCGCAGCAGCTCATGAGTAAGGTCAAACAGCTACTAAAAAACATTTGTGACTCAGGAATTGGACAGTTGAAAACGTCGATCAAGGAGCTCAAGGCCACGAGACAGCACTCCTTCAACCTGAAGAGGTGACTAAAACCGGCCCGTGGGCAATTTTGCCCACACCCCAGTCCCCAGTAATAATTTCCAGAAAGTGAACAATGGCTAGATCCAAGGACTGACAATCACAGAACCGGTCCTTTAGAGAGACGATTTTTCAGTTACTGTAAAATCAATCAAACACCTTCTGTTTTGTGCTCGCTCTCCATGACCTTTTGTACCCCCAAAGGTGTACCTTTTTGAAGGTCCAAACCAATGTATTTGGCAAATACTGATCCATCACCAAACACAAGCTTTCCAAGGGGATACATAGGTGACATTGACCGACGGTTTTTGAGTCCTGGAAGATTCGTGTCAGTGAGGCCGAGATAGACCCCATTGAAGCAGAGATTGACAAAGCCGTTGAAGCAGAACAATTCGAACATGCTGAGGACCAAGGGTGCAAATGGACCCTGCAGAAAGATATATATATATATGTATATATTATATATATAAATTGAAGATAGTTCCAGTGAATAAAGGCATTACACAAAAAAAACACAACTTTCAATCACACATTTGATTTATTTTGTAAGTGGAGGTGCGTCTGGCGCTTTCAGGAGCTTGAAAACAAGCGGCTAGATCTTTCGCAAAAGCTGGAGGTATTTGAAAAGGAGCCTCAGAGCGGTCTAGGTCATGCGAATCGATCCGAGTGGTCACTGAGCGGTCCAAGTGATCTAGGTGACAGTGACCAGCTACACCGGGGCCACACCAGCCAATCCTTCTTTCACAAAGGAGCTGGATGGTCTTGAGAAAGACATGCCCAAAGAAGTTGAGGCCTTTCCACGGAATCATGATAGCGTTACAATTTGACACTGCGGTGTGATTGTCCGGTTCCCATCAAAATCCACACTTGTCCCTTGTGCCAAGAGCAGTTTGGACGGAAAGCACTTGCCATTTCACAGGCTGAAGAGGAGCCAAAAGTTGATGGAGAAGAGGCCAAGAAACTACTAGGAACAAAGGGCATCGCTACTAGTAACAAAGGGCATTACCACTAGTAGCAAATAGCTGCATAGCTACTAGTAACCACAGTCTGCGACCGAGGCCGGGACTGATGAGACCTAGGCTGCCTCCTTTTTGCCGAGTGCTTGTGACGATGTAATGTAGCGACAGGAAATGCTATGGAAAGCACGTGTAGACACACAGGAATGGAATGACACACACATAATGTTTGCTTGCTATTACATTGCCAAGGCAATGAGAAGCTGCCATTTTCCGTGTCTTTTAGGTGACTCTCTCCTGAATGGATGTGAGTCCTGTGAAGTACACCTGATGAGGTGGCGCACAGCACCAGCCACAGCTGCAAAGTCGTGTTAAAGATCGTCGTCTTGAACATCTTCCCCAGTCACAGTCCCGTTTTGGGCTATGACCATCAAAAAACAGGGACCTGCCTAGTGATTAACAAGGTCCTGTGTTGCGAACTGGCATTTGGACAGATCCTTTGATTGTCCTGCCACTAATCATTAATAAAGGTCTTGGAAATAGTTGCTACAGTTCTCAGTTTTGTTGAATGACTAATTGACCAATTGTACTATCAGATCGCCTGCGATAGTGGGTACCATGCGGCCACCGGTTTGGTGCCTAGCTGGAGTGTGTGGTTTGCGTGTTTGAGTTTGGCTCAGCTTGTGGGACTTCACGCCTTCCACACCATGTTGGGTGCCAATGAGCGCTTTGGTAAGGGCCACGACCGGCCGTTGCTACATCTTCCGGCGGAGTCTGGTTGCATACCGAGAACATGTCAGTCATGTCACCATTATCCCACTGGACTCACCAATCAAGGAAGAAGATGGTAAGTTGAAGGAATTAAGAGAAACCCTTCTGAAGAATCACGACACTTCTAAAGTAGATGAAGTGCTTAAGCCGCTTTCGACAGCAGGAGATGAGAGACCCATGTCAAGGTCTGGCTTTTTGCTTACATTGAAGTCATTGCAGTGGCTTCAGACACAAGCGAATATTCCAGTCACAGATTTAAATGAGTTTTGGGTTTTGCTGGAAGACGTTCGCAGAGAACAGACGGAGCTTTTCTTGCCGTGTCATTTAGCAGAGATCCTGTCCCTGCTTGCAAAGTGCCAGCGTCCCAGTACAGAGCTTGTCCGCTTGGTCAGCCAACGATGCCGCCGCCTCCATAAATCGTTTAGTGCAGAGGAGATTGGTGGAATTCTCCGGGCATACAGCACACTTGGATTTGCATCTGTGGGTACAATCAGCATGCTGGGTAGTCGGCTGGCCAGCCTTTTGCACGACCCGAGTGACACTGTGAAAGGATGGCACCTTGTTGCTTTAGCTGGAGCCTATCCTACTCTTCATATGTCCTGGAAGAAGTCCAAGCATCGAGACCAAGAACTCAAGATGTGGAAAGCGGTGACGGTCGCTTTGCCTCAAAAGCTCCCTGAGATGAGTGCACGACATCTCGCAGTGCTTCTCAATGCTTTTGCGCGGATGGATTTCTCGTCTTCTGGGATTCACAGCAATGTGTCGCAGATGTTTTCGGCGACGGCGAACCACTTAGTTCCTCGAATTGCTCTCAATGCAAATGCAGAATTCGTGCCCCGCGAGCTTGCTTTGATCAGCAATGCTTTTGCCAAGACTCGCGCAGTGGCTTGTACTGGGGTTGGTCCGTTGTTTAAAGCGGTGGCTTCCACTGCTATGAGTCAAATTCAACATTGCAATCAGCAAGACCTTTCAAACCTTTTCAATGCATTTGCTCAGCTCTCCATTCGAGATCCCCCTCTCTTTGATGCGGGGGCGCTCGTTGTAATTTCAAAGATAGCGGACTTCGATCCTCAGCATCTCTGCACCACAGCGCATGCCTTTGGCAAGCAACAGGTTGTGCATCAGGACATGTTTAAGAAAATTGCGGACGCGTCACTGAGATTGCTCGACCGATTCACGCCACTGCAGCTCGGCAACTTGGCTTATGGCTTTGGACGCCTACAAGTAAGACACAAGCAGCTAGTTGGGAGTCTGTCAGATGAGGTGATTTATCGTGGTACCATTGGAAAAACCTTGCAGAATGCCAGCGAAGTGTACCGTTTCGAGTTGAGAACCCTTCAAAACCTCACACAAGCTTTTTCCAGGCTCATGGTGGCTGACCACAGGCTCTACTTTGTGCTTTTTGACATGACCAGACAAAGAGTGAGGGAATTTGCAAGACGTGTGAAGGACACGGAGGCCGAACAGGATGTGAATGCTTCTGTCCATACGGTGGTGGATAAATCCCGCGTTTCTGCTGCAGCTAATCGGGGCGAAGACATTGAGATTTTGACTGGCCGTGGGCTCTCAATGATGCTGTCTGCTTTTGCGAAAAGTCAAGCCGACTTCCACAGTCTTCTCAGATGGGTTCCACACCAAGTCACATCACTTCAGGGTCAGTATTCTACCACACAGCTGGCAAATATTTTTAACTCCTGCAGCAAATTGGGCATCAAACATGCAGCCATGTATTCCGAGTTGCTGAGCAATGCTAAGCCACGAATTCCTCAGATGTCTCCAAAGTCTTTGACCATGCTTCTCCGAAGCATGTCAAGAGCGAAACTTTCCAGTCGGACGGTGACCCGACATGCGCTGAAGGTGATTTCGGCCAAAGTGGGTGATCTAAACACAATAGACCTTTGCACCGCTTTGGTGGGCTGCTCTGAGTTGAACTACCGAGATGAACGGTTTCTACGCTTGCTTGCTAGCGTGGTGCGGACTAGGATGAATGAGATGACAGGAAGCCAACTAGCCTGCGCATGTGCAGCCTATGCCCACATGCGCATCCAGCATCCTGCATGGTTTGACGCCATACTGTTTGAACTTTTTCAGAGGCAGAGCGAACTGAGTGAAAAGGATGCCACGAACGTAGCATACGCAATGTTACTTCTGGCAGCGGTGGAGAGACACGAATCTAAGGCCAATGAGGCATCGTCATATCCCTTTGACACCCATCGGGGTGTTCTCTACAGCCTGCTTGCAACTACCAACGAGCATCGGAGGGATCTCAGCTATCCAGCGATCTATCAGCTGCAAATTGTCGAGCTCTATTTGAGGCTCTTGGCACCATCTGTATATGAGGAGATGCAACAGGAACTAAAGATTATGCTTGCGAAAGCAAGAAAAGTCAGTGTTATTGTCGATGACTACATGCAGAGCTCCTCGAGACTACATCGGCGGATCTCTCAATGGTTTACGAGGGTTGGATTGGAACACCGCAGTGAGGTATTTGTGGGGCCATTTATGCTTGACATGCTAATTGGAGAGCGAGTTGTTGTCGAAGTGGACGGGCCAACTCATTTCTATCGGGACACTAATACTCGCACCGCATCGAGCTTGTTGAAAGCAAGTATGCTTCGGGCTATGGGGTTCCATGTGAAGCATCTTCCTTACCAAGAGTGGCAGCAGTGCGGGAATGCCACAAGGCGAACGATGTATTGTTCCGCCTTCTGGAAAGACGTCGTGGCAGCTCACGAGCAGGACTTTGAGGGTTTGCATCCGCGGCTTCCAGAGCTTGTTGACATTCTTGATGTCGTGGTGAGTTGGCAAACAGGTGAAGGTCCGCATCCCAGCACTGCTTTGCTTCGGGAAAGACAGCCGGCACAAAGATTGCCAGCATTCTATTCGGAGGAGAATGAGCTGGAGGAGGTGGTGGATCGAAGCCTGACAGGTCGAACACCGCAAGAGCTCCTTGCAGCGCACGAAGAGGCAGAAGCCGCCATGGCAGCTGATAGGCAGGGTGAACAGGGGTGAACATGGGTGAGCAACATCAATATATAAACTTAATGCACCCCGAAGAAACATTTTGATGGACCGGTTCATGTGGTTTTGTTTTCGGTCTAATTGTGTGAGTTGCCCTGACAGGGATCGGCAGATTACGGCTCAGCAGAGAATGTTCTTAGACCAAAGAGAAGAAAGAGATCAGGAACTTCAGGAAGAGCTCAGCAAGCTCTTTCCGAGGTCCAAGAGACGAGAGGTTCGTCATTCCACCACAGGCATCTTTGACTTTGAGTCCTTGGAGGCCGACACGGATAGCTCAGATGATGAGTTCGAGACTCAAAAGTGCGGCGAACTCGCCGTCGGCTTTTTGCGAACGAACGATGAGTTCGTATGATGTTCAATTTCCTTGAGAACGTAGACACATGTCACAGCTGAAGTATATGAGGAATTCGTGTGTGATCGGCTCAAAGCAGCATTCCACATGTAGCATTGTAGCATTCCGCGGTTCACTCCGAGAAGAAGCATTGCCCACTGCCCAACTGCCCTCAGGGCCTCCCCGCGAGTTCCCCTCACCTCCCCTTCGCCCTTCGCACCTGTGGCCATGGCTGGTCGACTCTTTGGGTCTGCAGCCGTGAGCTCAGTTCGACAAGGCCATCACTCTGAGAGCCTTGTTTTTCAGTCCGCCCTTGCTTAATTGAGTAGGCGCCTACTTGGGAGTAGCTCGCCACAAGCTAATAATAGGAAGCTCCTAGCCAGGACGCAGGGCCAGGACGCAGGATAGCTCATGCTTCTTCAAGGAAGCCACCCCCGCCGGAGGGCGCGGGGGAGCTTCCCTGAAGAAGCGCTTGCACCAAAGATTTGGTTCTTAGATTTTTAGGAAAACTATATTACAAATTCATTCGATAAAGCATGATACAACAACATCATGAAGGATCTTCATAGCTCTTCAAGATCTCTTCTTCTATGCCCAAATTTGATATGAGCTCGTTGGTTCGATGCCTTTGGCCGCATTGTGCAAAGTGTACAAGATGCATTGACAAACCATGTTCAATATACAATGATATAGGGTCTAGATGAGTCCTGGGATATACTTTTTTGTACAAGTTGTATTTTCACCTGCAAAGCAACCAACAGTTGCAGTTTTCACAGATTTAGACAGAAGGAACACTTTGGACGCATAGGCAGTAATCGACACCTGAACACCTACTAGTAGCAAGTGCATTACTACTAGTAGCTCGAAGCTACCACTAGCTTCTAGCTACTAGTAGCAATGCACTTGCTACTAGTGGCGATGCACTTGTTACTATGCAGCGGATTTCTCAGGTCCAAAGTGTTCAAGGACGGCCCGCTCGAGGGAAGGGCAAGGCACAGCGCTCGTTCACGAGTGTTGACCGGTCGAAATGTCGGAACACAGAACGAATCAAACGTCCATTTTACCATTGCAATGGGACTCTTGATGAATTGTCGAGCTCCTGTCGGGGCTTGCAAAGGTTTGCAATTGCACAGAATTGTTCTTTTTTGCCAGGGCAATTTGGGCACGAGGGCAGTGATTCCGAAAATCGTGAAAGGTGTCAGACACCAAGAAGATTCTCAGACACATGCCTGACAATGGGAAATTGGCAACCGTTCTTTTTCTTGCATCGTGTTGAAAAGAAACTTAGCAGTCGATTACTAGAATCTTCCCAACCTGCTTGAAGACCACCAATACCAAGGCCTCTGCTGATGTGACGGACGGCAACTCAGACGACTCCGAGATGTTTGACAGCAACATGGAGAGGTTTCTTTTGGCTCAGGTTCGGGGGCGCGGAACTCATATGTATGGAGGCCCTCCCAAAAGTCGCAGGAAATGATTGTACAAAGTTTCATCGTCCCACGATCCTACATCGATTCTGTATCCAGGTGGTGGCATGGGTGGAAGAAGCCCAGCACTGACTGCAGGCGAATGTTGCCGCTGAAGTCCCGTCGTGGAGGGCGGAGCAGTTATATCGCGCCTGGAGTCTGCCCGAACGAAGCGGCAGGCAACTATGAAAGCTTTGGGGGTGAATATTCCGCAGGTGGAATGCTCAGTTTACGGCACTCCAAGAAATCACAGAATCAGAGCAAGGTCGCTATGAGTAGCTCCTGGCCTTTCTACTAGGAACAAGAAGCTACCAGGAACAAAGGGCATCGCTACAAGGAGCAAGGACGCCATCAGTAGCTCCTGGCCTTACTACTAGGAACAAGAAGCTACTAGGAACAAAGGGCATCACTACTAGGAGCAAGGACGCTATTAGTAGCTCCTGGCCTTACTATCAGGAGCTTCTAGGAACAAAGGGCATCGCTACTAGGAGCAAGGATCGCTATTAGTAGCTCCTGGCCCTACTACTAGGAACAAGAAGCTACTAGGAACAAAGGGCATTTCTACTAGGAGCAAGGTCGCTATGAGTAGCTCCTGGCCCTACTACTAGGAACAAGAAGCTACTAGGAACAAAGGGCATCGCTACTAGAGCAAGCATGCTTTTAGTAGCTCCTGGCCTTACTACTAGGAACAAGAAGCAACTAGGACCAAAGGGCATCGCTACTAGGAGCAAGGACGCCATTAGTAGCTCCTGGTCTTACTACTAGGAACAAGAAGCTACTAGGAACAAAGGGGATCGCTACTAGGAGCAAGGACGCTACTAGCAGCTCCTGGCCTTACTACTATGAACAAGAAGCTACTAGGAACAAAGG